AGATAGCTGTATAGTTCTCCTTACTTCTATCTTAATACCACCTCAAGCCCCCCCCCCCACAGTCAAACTTTCTCTAATGGCCACTTACCGCCCCTCCATTCCCCCCCCCCCCACCCGAAAAAACCCCAACAACAAACAAACACAAAACAACAACAACAACAACAACATACAAACAAAAAACAACAAAAAAACAACAACAAAACAAACAAACAAACAACAAACAAACAAACAAAAATCAAACAACAACAACAACAACAACAACAACAACAACAACAAGCAAACAACAGAAACAACAAAAAGACAAACAACAAAAAACTAAAACAAACCGGAAATAGAGAAAAAATGAAAGCATAAGAAGACGTGGTAAAATTTTCGAAAATGTTTGTTAATTATTTATGACGTAAGGCACAATATACATATCAATAATAGTATTAATAATAATAAGCAAAATAACATTTGGCATTATTACATGATAGAGGTAGTATACACTATGTACAAAATACTAGATTAATGGAACAGAGATATTCAAGTATAATTATACATTGGTCATTATTTCTTTGTTCACCACAACACCTTAGTGTGAGGAATTGTGTTAAATGACGTCGGCAAGAATTTCTCGTTGTCATAAGCTGTACATGTATTTGGTCGCTTTTAAGCACAAGGGGGCTATCCCGAAAAATGCTGTTTTGAGAAAATCGGAGGTAAAGTTTTTGCCCCTTTTTCAGTTTCTTTAAAAGACAAGGAGAGTTTTCTCTATAACCAAACAAATATACACACCAATGAAACCAAACTTCTCCTATAGGTAGGGCAAAGCCCACTTTTGATGTAGGTTAAGGTTTCTGGAAACCCCCGAAATCTGGGTTAGCCCGCTTGTCCTTAAAAACGACAAATTGTGAAGGTCAACGTCCTATCAGGCTCTTTGAATGACAAGGCTATAACTCCACTGTTTGCAAGAACTGAGTTACACACTACATATTACTGACACAGATACCCTTCATACTGTGTCAAAAGAGACAATCTGACCTGTACATTCTTTTAAGTCTGACACATAAAAAATCAGGAGTAAGATATAATAATAATAATAATAATAATAATAATAATAATAATAATAATAATAATAATAAAAATAATAATAATAATAATAATGATAATAATAAAATATTAATAATAATGATAATAATAATAATAATAATAATAATAATAATAATGATAATAATAATAATAATAATAATAATAATAATAATAATAATAATAATAATAATAATAATAATGATAATGATAATAATAATAATAATGATAATACTACTACTACTACTACTACTACTACTACTACTACTACTACTACTACTACTACTAATAATAATAATAATAATAATAATAATAATGATAATAATGATAATAATAATAATAATAATAATAATAATAATAATAATAATAATAATAATGATAATAATAATAATAATAATAATAATAATAATAATAATAATAATAATAATAATAAATAGCATTTGTATAGCGCATGTCCCCACTCGAAAGCAAGCTCTATGCGCTTTACACTATATTATTACCACAGCAGACCATAGAACACCCTGAAACATTCTCAGCTTCCCGGGAAGAGAGTAAATCTTCGAATCCCATTTTTTTTCTTCAAAACTGTCTCATATAGTTAGAACCCTGTCATTCTAGGGTCGTGTTATGTCTCACGTACCCACAATGTCATACATTTCTCGAAGACTAAGATTCGACTAGCCTGTCCTATTATCTTTCGACGTGGAAATTTGGCGTCAAGAGCGCACACAAAATACAAGCCAAAAGATGAACCGTGACTTCATACTACCTGCCAGTAGACCGAGATAATGATGAAATTGTTATTTCAACGGAGTTTTTCAAGTCCAGTGGCGCACATCACCAACCCTTTCACAGTATATAGAACAACTGCTCGTCACAATAGGATACTGACTTTGATCGATACTGCTCGGAACATTTACAGCTAAAACTACACATCGTCGTGTAAGACCAAGATGCGCGTATCATGATTTTGGTGCGATTTTATTTTCACCAATTGAAAACGCTTATAATGGGTTTCATTTCTGTATAAGTTTAATTGAGTCCCCCCGCCTTAAAATCGCTATAAAAAGCAAATAACTGTTTCAATTATCATAGCAGTTTGCTTCCAAATTAGCTCGTCTTGAGGTGTGCGGAATGGATTTCAATAATATTGTTACAATTTGGATGACGCAAGAAGAATGACTACGAAACCGACAGTAAAGCCAAGAATTCCTAAATCACGTATCGCATGATACGCTTTTAGGGCTTGATCATTTCCAGTGTGCTGATCATTCATACGTACCTACATTAATCAGTTTTTTGTTCATCCTGAAAAATTCGCTAAAACCTTGATGCGTGGAACTGGCTCTTATAGGACGACATCCAAAAATGATTGTCAATACGCTTATACTTGGAACGATGTGCTCCCTCAGTGGAACATATTACAGAATCGACCAGAATCATCGTGTTTAACTCACGTAACCTCTCTGTTTATATCGTATCGAGAAATACTAATAAAAAATCCTAGTGAGTGGTTTCTACTGATTTTAAAAGGTTTACAGTTGGGACGACATCAAGTCCGTCATTTTTTTTAAATCGCGAGATTATCTTTATTGAACGCATGTTTTGAGAACTTATAGTGCAAAAAAGTGTTCACTATAAAATTAATTTCTTGTAACTAGTTTTGTAACTAAAAGTGTCATTGGTGAGCTGTGACGTAACCCATATGCGTATACAAATTGTGTGTGAGGAGCGGGAAGTGCTGTGAACAATTCTATTTTCCGCGTGAAGGAGGTTTCTAGTGTTTTATATACATTTATGAAGAAAAGTTATTTAACCTAGCTTCCATTGCTGTGGAAAAATATGATTACGTTAAGACAAATTGATACAAACTGCAGTGCAAAGTATGGGTGACATTGATTCACCCGTTATAAATATATTTGAGGATAAGTTGCACCACGATATTTTTACTGCACTATAGGATATTATAGTTATAGTACTCCGCCACCCTGGAATGACTAAGTTCTATCTGCTCAATAGGCCTGCCTAGTTTTTGAGAAAGCTGACGCTATAATTTTCAGTTTCACATCATGTCAAGCTTCTTAAAATGCAACTTTAAAAAAACCCAACTTGATTACGACTCCAAATAATATTACGGTTTTTGCTAGAGCAGATAGAACAGTTGATTCCCGACCTCATGGTCTCAGTAACTCAAAAGGGCCAAAAATGTGAGGCAGAACTTTGGAATTTTGAGGCCGGGAACTGTCTATGACATAAGCACAGGTCTGAGTGACCTGGTTAATTAACGTAGCTATAACATGATGAAAACAACAAGAAAGACCTAAAATGGATTTAAAAAATCAAAACTCTTAAAAAGAACGTTGTCTCTGGAGCAAAGATTGCGATACAAAGCGAGACAAATAAAATATTAAATTTGATACAGAATCAATTACTTTTACTTTTTTAGTATGATATGCACACAAACACACACACACGAACATACTGAAACAGAAACACACACACACACGCACGCACACACACACACACACACACACACACACACACACACACACACACACGCAAACACAAACACACACACACACACACACATGACCTTACACAAACAGAAACACACACACACACACACACACACACACACATAAACACACACACAAACACACACACACTTACAAACAACAGAAAATACAAATCAACTGTATCAGGAGCGTCGAAGCGAAGATAAAACGTTTGCCTGTCAGGTAGGTATGATCAAAAGGAAAAGAAAAAAACAAAACAAATGAACAAAGCGAAAAGCTTCTCGAAATTTTGGGAATATACTGTCAATTAAGTAAAGTTTAAAAACAAAAAACGAAAAAGAACAACAAAATAAAAAACAACCCCCCCCCCAAAAAACAACAACAACCAAACAAACAAAACAAAATAAAGCAGCAAAACCAAACACACACACACACACACACACACACACACACACACACACACACACACACACACAAACACACACACACACACACACACACACACACACAAATACACACACACAAACGACGCTGAAAAACCCAAGGCGTTGTGTTTTACTATTGTTACCATACGATGTGGGGAACTTTGTGCCACCACTTTCCAAAGAGGAAATCAACTCGTTAATCCGATCCGCACGCTTTGCAGAGCTGTCTGACAAAAGGATTTTTTAAAGAAATACTGAAAGTTTCACATAGATCTTCGTACTAGAAGTATTTTGAAATGTGAAGAGTACAACCCCAGGGGTACAAAAGACCCCAGGGCGTAAGGATAGGGTTAAAGACATTAGACAATAACAAGAATGTGAGTAACAACACGAAATACCCATACGTTCTCATACTCTGAGCGTCTAGTGAAATAACCATAGATTTGAATTCTACAATCTTAGATCTGGCACTGTCATGGCCGCCAATAATTACTCTCTATGACAACTTCGCTGTGTTCGTGTGCACTCTGTGCGCACAAATGAAGGGCAAAACACCACTTTCGTTATTGTCCAGTGCGTGCGTAACTTTTCCCTCCTTAGGCCCCATTCACACGTACAGTTCATTGATCGACAAACTGTAGGATATCGAAAGGATGATCGGCATCCTGTCAACTTCCCGTTAAAACTGAGCGTGGAAACGAGAAATCCTGTCGATATTGAAGGGTTCTCCGTCCAACCTCCAATTATCTGGCGACGCCAGATATTTGCCGGCCGGCGAACTGAAGGCATGACGACGAGAGACCGGCGTCTTTGATGTTGCCCCCGGCAGAGTTGAGAATGCATTTCAAAATGTTCCTAAATATTGGTCAAATAAAAGAAAATAAAAGATTTTCGTGATCAGCGACCCAAAATTAGTCAAAATCACGCGGGGAACACAATTTAATGCCGGATTTCCAAGTTATTTTTTTTTTGGGGGGGGGGGGGTGTGTATTAAGTGTTTTGTCAAGGACTGACACTTTAACGAAAAAAACCAACTGTACGTCTGAATGGAACTTGTCTCGTTGACAAACTGTCAGTTTAACGATGACCCAGATCTAGCGTCCGACGGTTGAACTGTCAGTTTGTGGATGAATGAACTGTACGCGTAAAGGGACCCTCACCCTTCATTTGGGTCCAATTCGAGTCAGATTGTGCGCTCCATGGTAAGCCGGAAGTGCGGCGGAGTGCACAGTCTTGGATGTTATAATACAAGTCTATGGAAATACCACACCAACAATGACGTAAACGGGGAATCGTGATGATGCCATTACGACAACAGAATATTCTCCACCATACCTCAGATAGGGATAAGACACAGGAAGGTGTGAAAATAATAAATACTGTCCTTCTTCTGGATTATTGTGCGTGCAAATACTTACAAACTACGAACCCTTTATGCTTGACGCCACCATTCAACCGATTCGAACAAAGATAAATAAAATATTTTCTTGACATCATAATAATTTTCAGGCTTGTCAGAAACCAGCAGACATGATATGATCAAATACATCAGAAGCTTGCAGTCAGAAATCAGATGATCAAAGACATCAGAACCCCTCTGTCAGAAATCAGTAGCCATGATATGATCAAAGACACCAGAAGCTTGTAGTCAGAAATCAGAAGATCAAACACATTAGAACCTTGTTGTCAGAAATCAGTAGCGACGATATGATCAAAGTCAAACACATTAGAACCTCGCTCAGTAGGTCCTCACACCAGTCCCTCCAGCTTACAGTTTTGTTATTGAAATAGGTCAAGATTTCTGGAAACCCCCGGAATCTGGTTTAGCTCGCTTGTCCTTAAAAGCGACCATATTATCACTGAGCGTAGATAGAGGAGAATGCTTTTATGTTTGGCGAGTGACGTATCTTATATGTTCTCAAGTTACTTTCACCATTCATTAACTCCTCACTGTCAGACATGCTTTATAATGCTACAAAAGAAACCTGGACTCTCCCGAGACAGACTGTGAGAGGGTTAATCGTTGGTGACTGTGATCCAGTACCGTGTGTCGTTCGGGTCGGGTTTCATCACGGGCACTCTGGTCGACCTCTTTATCCTCTTCTTGGTGGAGTCCGTGTAGAAGCCGGAGTCCATCTCCAGATCCTCGTAGTCCTTGGTGCCGTCGTAGACATCCTCCTCCGCCGCGCGACCCTGCGTCGACCTTGACCTTCTGCGGGGTCGCTTCCTCCTGGCGGGGGCTTGAATAGAGGTCATCAACCCCAGTGACCTCGGGCTGTGATCGGGGCTGCTGTTGGGCGCTGATTGGTCAGCGTCAGAAGACTGCTGCTGTAGCGGTTTGTTCCGGTTTCTCTTCTCCACTTTGGCGTAAGGGTCTTCTGTATCGTCCTGGATGATGAGTCCGGAGAGTTTCTTTATCCTGGGCCTGGGGGGTGGGAGGGGGCGGGACTCCTCCTGTTGCCGGAGCTGTATGCTGGTCAGACGACCTTCCTCCACGTCCTCAGGTATGGGCAGCGGCCGGCCCACGTAGCTGGCTCGCTCGGAGATAGGGATACAGTACTCCGTGGCTTCGCTCTCCTCGGGATCGTGAGTTGTGGAAGTATGGAAAGTGGTCGCGTCATCGTTGAGAAATTTGCCGGCACTGTTGTCTGAGCTGCTGTTACTCTTGCTGTCTGAGCCGCTTCTGCCCGCTCGGTTATCTCCATAAGTGTGGCTGCCACTCCCGCTTCCTCTGTTGTTGTTGCTGCTGTTATTGTTGTTCGGATCGCTTCCAAAACCACCCGGTTTCCCTCCTCTTTTCTCGTTGCTCCTTTTATCTTTACTCATCTTTTTGTTGGCCTTTCTCCTCTCTGTTTCCTCGTCACTGATAAAGGCTCTGTTGAGGAAGACAGACGGGGGCTGGGTTCGAGCCCTGTCTCCTCGTGGTGTGGCGTAGTCCGCCTCCTCCACCCCGCTGTCCCCGCCCGTCTCGTGGGAGGGTACTCCGGTCAGTTGGTTCTTGTACACGTGACCGGGCCGGCCCAAGCTCTCAGAGGGCTCTGGAATAACAATGATAATAATGACAACCATGATAATTATAATAATAATAACAATAATAATAATAATGATAATGATAATGATATTGATATAATAATGATAATAAAAATAATAAGAATTTGTATTATGATAATGGTACAGATAACAACAACAGCAACAACAATAATAACAACAGTTATAATAATAATAATAATAATAATAATAATAATAATAATAATAATAATAATAATAATAATAAATAAATAAATAAATAATTAGAATGATAATAATGATATTAATAATATTAATAATAATAATTATAACAATAATAATAATAATATTAATAATAATAATAATAATAATAATGATAATAAGAATAAGAATAATAATGATAATAATAAAAGTAATAGTAATGATAATAATAGTGATGATGATGATGACACACAAAAAAAGAAAAAGAAACACAAACACAAAAACAAAAAGAAACCCGTCCAAACCCCCCCCCCCCCCCGACAAAATACTGGATAAAAGAAACTGTCCAACTCAAGAATCAAAGAGCCTGACCGTTTACCCCATATACCGGTCAGAGAGTCACCGCTTACCCCAGGTGCCGGTCAGAGAGTCACCGTTTACCCCAGGTGCCGGTCAGAGAGTCACCGTTTACCCCAGGTGCCGGTCAGAGAGTCACCGTTTACCCCAGGTGCCGGTCAGAGAGTCACCGTTTACCCCAGGTGCCGGTCAGAGAGTCACGGACAACACTACACACACTACGCTATCTCAGACTGACAAAGGTCTATCTGCTCAGTACCTAGTTTTGAGAAAATTTAACGTCAATTCTTTTTTAGTTTCACAATATGTCAAGCTTTTTCGAATACAATTCTTTGAATATCTCGATAACGACTTCGAAATATGCCTACGATTTTGATGGAGCAGATACAGCATTTGCTTTCTGACCTCATGGTCTCAGTAACTCAAAACAGCCAAAACACCACGGGGCGGTACCACTGACTGAAGTGTCTTTAGGCCATTCTCAAAGGGGGGATATTTCTCGTTCTTACGCACAGTAGAATTGTAAATGGGCTGATTCAATAATGTCACGCTCATAACTGTGCCTGAACTACAACAAGGAACAGCAGCCTTTTCTTTCCAAATACTTGCTACCGTCATTTTCCTCTACCTCTTTTGTATGTTTGTCACACTCTTGTTACCCGCTGTTTCCGGGGAGCCTTGAAAGTCGAAGCAGACTTTGTGCTGAAAAGTTAGAGAGGTGAGCAGAGTCAGCCTGATTCCTCGTACTAAATACTACTCTGTTGACATCCACCCCTTGGCGCTCATATGACATTATACAGTTGCGAGAGCTGTAAAACCTCTACTATAAAAAACCCAGCCAAAATAAATGTCAGATAGTACTTTGTATTTCTGAGACAGCGAATGGCGTCGGTGGTCTAGTGGTTAGGCTACCAGACTCGTAATAGTAAGATTGAGTGTTCGGGGGTCCAAACCTCAGCTCAGTCCGATGTTGTGTCCTTGGGAAAGAGACTTTCCACAAATTTCCCACTTGGCTCAGTCCTTTCGGAGATGGACGTTAAACTCGGAGGTCCCGCCTCTTAAATAACCTAATAGTGTTGATAGAGGCGTTAAATCTATACCATTTCACTATTTCTGAAACAGCGACTACACATCTCTTCAGTGGGTGGTTGGCGGGTGCTCTGGTGGGATCTGCTCCTTCTTTCATATCAAACATCTATCTTCTTTATCTCCCCTACTTCTTTTTTGTGTTTGTTACTCTCTTGTAGCACCTCTAATCTTCGGCACTTATGTGACCTTATTGTGTTGCAAGTGCCGTAAAACACTTCTTCTTCTTCTTCTTCTTCTTCTTCTTCTTCTTCTTCTTCTTCTTCTTCTATCCCGTGGTTGTAACAACCGTGGGGGCACCACTGCATCTGACAACCAGCTCTCGCTATTTCTCTGTGTCCTCTGCTTTCTTAAGATAGTCACCCATCGTCTTTCCTGTCCACTCTGCAATGTTGTCCTCCCATCTCCTTCAGTGCCTTCCTCTCTTTCTCTTTCCTTTTACGGTTCCGTGTAGGATTGGTCTGTCCCCGTCGTTTTATACAAGAAAAACTTTGAAATTATGCAAACTGAACCCAAAATGTTAAATTATGCGATTCTGTTAATTTTAACAAAGAATGATAAAGGAAAATAATCCGAAATTATGCAAAAAATGACCAAATTTTGCTAAATTATGCCGGGTGCATAAAACCACGGGGACAGATTGGTAAAACACTCACTAAGACTAAAAGACATTTGCTCACCGGGCGCTGAGTCCACCTCGGCGTAGACCGTCTCGGGAGCGTAGTCCCTGTCTCTGTGGGAGTCTTCCGAGCTGCTCTTTTTGTCGCCTTCCTCGTACGCCGAGTCACGATTGGCTAAGGCTGTTGACTTGGGCGGGGCTCCGTTCTGAGGATGAACCAATAATAATAATAATAATAATAATAATAATAATAATAATAATAATAATAATAATAATAATAATAATAATATAACAATAATAATAATAACAACAATACTACTACTACTACTACTACTACTACTACTACTACTACTACTACTACTACTACTACTACTACTACTACTACTACTACTACTACTACTACTACTACTACTACTACTACTAATCACAATAAATGACATTTATATAGCGCTCAACCCGATTAAAGTACACAGGCTTTGAGTGCTTTACAATACAGTACAACGAGGGGGCTCTCGTGGCCTAGAGGTTAAGGTGTTGGCCTCTCATTCAAAGGTCCCGGGTTCGATTCCGGGTAGCGAACAATAAATTTTTCTTCTCTAAAATTGTCTCCTTTCACATCCTTTCCTGATCTCTAGCAATGTTCTGTTGTCTGCTTTCATTTCCACTTTCTGCCCCCACCCCCTCACCCCCTTTGCCCTCTCCTCTGAGCTCCTGACTCTTTCTGCAGCCTTTCTACTGCTACTCCCTGGCTCCTCCTAACTGCTGTCTTTCTGCCACACCCCTGATCTTCTGGTAGGAAAGATCTACACCTAGCCTTCTCGGACAAGGTCGAAAAATCTCGGAGGACCCGTGTGCAAGTTGCGCACGTTAAAGATCCCTTGGTGGTCTAAAATCGATAAGAGTAGGCTTCGGCCGCCACCCGGGCAAAATTCAAAATTTCCTACCAACGAAAAAGTATTAGGTGTGTCCCGCGCGCTCATATGACCTTATGCAGTTGCAAGCGCCGTAAAACCCTATACTAAACAAACAAACAAACAAACAGTACAACGTAAAACAGTAACATAAAACAGTGTGTTCTGACTAAAAGAAAATCACTCAAAATATTTATCTCATTAATTTAAAAACAGAAACGATATGATTTGCTTGGATTTGCTGTTTTTGTTTGTCTCTAGGCTCAGTATAGTTTTGCAGTTTGCTAAGCATTAACATTTTTTAAAACGAAGAGATACCTATGCATTTACGTTTGTCTCTGACAAGAAATTGGTAGAAACTCTGAAATTTTAAGAAAATGGATACAATTCCTGAAGCACAAAGGAAAACAAAAATTAAAAACAACAGAAAGAACAAAAACAACAACAACAACAACATCAACAACAACAACAAAATAAGTGTAAAAACACGAGACTAAAATTATAGTGAACAATACTTTAAAAACTTTAATTTTTAATTGGAGAAAAGGACAACATCGCAGCAGACAGACAGGTATCATCATCATCATCATCATCATCATCATCATCATCATCATCATCATCATCATCATCATCAACAACAACAACAACAACAACAACAACAACAACAACAACAACAACAACAACATCAACAACAGCAACATCAACACCACCTCCACCACCACCACCACCACCACCACCATCGACAACAACGACAACAGCAACCACACCACAACAGCAACGACAACAATAACAACAACACCACCACCACCACCACCAACAACAACAACAGCTGATCCACTGACCCGCTTCTTCCAGCGTAGCGTGTCCTCGTCTGACAGGTCCACGATGTCCTTGTGCTGCGTCACGGGCATCCACGTGACTATTTCTTCCTCCTCTCTCATTGGCTCGTCCTCCGACAAGTTCATGCGTCGCAGACGATCCTGAATCGGAAGTGTGTCCGTTTTCGAGTCTACGGTTCCGTGGTCCGATCGAGAGCTGTCGTCATCAGCTGATGGTGGACACGAGCATGCACAGTGTGAAACGGATTTTCAGTTTTTAGTTTTAGTAGAGGTTTTACGGCACTCGCAACTACATAAGGTCATATGAGCGCCAGAAGAGTAGAGGTGTCACAAGAGAGTAACAAACATAAAAAAGAAGGAGGGGGAGATAAGGACGATAGATGTTTGATAGGAAAGAAGAAGCAAACCACACCAGAGCACCCGTCAACCACCCTCACACAGATTTTGATTTGAACAATTTACATAATAATAACACACTAACAATGTGACTTGATGATATATTATTGTTATGTTTCGTTCACCTTTGGTGAAAAAAATTCAGCCGAATCAGTCCAAAAAGATCACCCATTGTCGATGAGAAAAGAGGTCATCTTAGACTGGCATGTGGTCTTCGGAGACAGTGTGTCTTTGTGAATATAGAAAACGCAAGGAGGAAATGGATCGAGAAAGAGGTTTAAAATATAATATACAGTGACGGGCTGCTATGTCGCCCAGAACATTTTCTAGGACAGGTGTTTGCTAAAGCAGGTACGACGACATTTTCAAGAGGAAAGTCAGAAAGAGGAAAAAACAAAAACTGAAACACGACTTTCTCGCCTGTGTCACAGGTACCAATGCCACCTTAAATTAAAACAACTAAAAACAGATCAGTTAGTTTGTTTTAGTAAGGTTTTTCGGCGCCCTCAACTGCATAAGGTCATATGAGCGCCAAGGGGTGGAGTCTAGGCCTCCCGATTATCTGGTATCGGGTATCTGGGGGCCTAGGGTGGAGTCAACACAGAAGTCCAAACGGGGAATCAGGCTTACTCTGCTCACCTCTGTAGCCTCAACAGTATAAAGTCTGCTTCAACTATCAAAGCACCCCATAAAAAGCAGTTTACAAGAGAGTGACAAGACAAACATATAATAGAAGTAGAGGAAAAAATGACGAAAGTAAGGGTGAGAAAAGAAAAAGCAGCAGTTCCCCCTAGGTTGTTCTGGCACAGCATTAGCATGGCATTGATAAGTCAGCCCATTTACAATTCTATTGTGCATAAGAACATGTTAATGTTCCCCCTTTGGGAATGGCATAAAGACAACTTCAGTCAGTAGCACTGCCCTGGTTTGGGGGGGGGGGGGGGGGGGGGTAAACAGATCAACAAAGAGGCAAGCCAATTATTATGATAAATAACCAATCCAACAATTACAATTTTAAAGGATTTTTTAGTTTTTCTCAGAGTTTTACGTCCCTTGCAACCCATAAGTAACGAAGTTTAGAGGAATTACTAGAGAGTAACATACAATGGAAAGAAGGAGAGACGATGACGATAGATGTTTGACAGGAAAGAAAAAAGTAAACTACACCAGAGCGCCCGCCAACCACCCACAAACAATACTTGATCAAACAAAGTAGCCGTTGAATAAAATGAGTAAAGTTTCGTTATAAATAAATGAAGGAACAAATGAAGGGATAAATGAAAGACAGGATGAAGGAAGTAACGAATGAATGAATGAATAAACAAATGAATGAATGAATGAATGAATGAATGAAAGAAAGAAGGAAAGAAAGAAAGGAAGGAAGAAAGAAAGGTAGAAAGAAAGAAAGAAAAGAAGAAAGGAAGAAAGAAAAAAGAAAGAAAGAAAGAAAGAAAGAAAGAAAGAAAGAAATGAACTGATGATAAAAATAATGCATGAGATGTTGTTTCTCTTACCCCTGACTATAGGCTGGGTGAAAGAAAGAATGAAAGAATGAATGAATGAAAGAAAGAAAGAAAGAAAGAAAGGAAGGAAGGAAGAAAGAAAGGTAGAAAAAAAGAAAAAAAGAAAGCAACTAAGAAAGGAAGAAAGGAAGAAAGAGAAAAGAAAGAAAGAAAGAAAGAAATGAACTGGTGATAAAAATAATGCATGAGATGTTTCCCTTACCCCTGACTATAGGCTGGGTTCCGTCGGGGTGAATCGCCTTCTTGTACCGTTGTCGGAAGTAGCATATGCTGATGACAAGGACGATCACGATGATGAAGATGATGACAGAGAGGACAATAGCGACGATAATGACGTCATTGTCGTCTGTGCTGGCGGCTGGCACGCCTCTGTATCCAGATCTTTCCACGGAGATCAGGAGAGATGTGGAGGTGGCGAGGGCTTGGGTGGATACTTCGCGGGCCTGGGGAGGGGGGG